TGCGTATGTAATTATTGTTTTGAAAAATAAAAACAAAATATTTTTAAAATCAATGAGTTGAAGACACTATAAAAAATGAGGAAAAAAATTAAATAAATAGAAACAACTTGTTGCATTCAAATTTGACAGGAAGCGGGCATAGCCTCAGGGCTGTATTTCTGTAGTTTTACGAAGCTGTTCTACCTCCTTGTACCATGTAAGCATCTACATTCATTAGAAGAATATTTCACGTATGGCCCATTCCATTCCTGCAAAAGGATGATTTTGATTTTGTCCAGACCCACGAGGCCATTTATAATTGTGATCTATAGCACAATATCAGCAAAAAAAAATCAAGTTTTGGTCCATTTTATATCCTTTAAAGTTTGCGATAATTTCCGCCAACAATAGGCTTTTATTCTGACTCTAACCATAACTCCGAGCAATTCGTGAGGATCGGATCATAACCTGTAGCGTGCTTACAAATTAACACGAAAAGACGGACGGGCACACATAGCTAGATGAACTCAGCTCGGCGAAATTGGAAGACGGATATTTAACATCATAAGTCAAGGAACAATATTTCGAGGTGCAACAAACTTTTTGGCCCAATCAAACATTACATAGTGGTGTAGGATATTAATATTATGATGTGTTAAATTGATTTGTTTATACCCTTAACCGTCCAACGTCCAAAACGTGCCTCATCGAATTAACCCTCGGACTCATTGGACCAAATCCATGTCAGGGGTGCCCGTCCGTCTGTCTGGCTGGCTGGTGCATACAATAACTCTCGAAGGGAGTATCCGACTTGGTCCAAACTTGGTAGATCGTTATATCACACTATGAATATCACTGTCAAACGAGTCCAGAGATAGGCAACATTGGCCTAGGCAGGTTAAATTGTTCAAAGATAATAATTTACCTTATAGAAAGGAAAAAGAGGAAAAGAAAACTTTGCAAATCGGAATATTTTTGTCAGTGCTTGGTGATGTGAGAAAATGGACTATATGGACCCACTTCATTGAATAACCATGAAGCTCGTAAAACGCGGAATGATCATCCGATTCCTTTCAAATTCGTCACACCCCAATATTTTTATCAACACATGATCTGTTGTTAAGATGGTATGTATCGGCACACTCCTTCCGGTGCACTCCTTATTCCTGTAGAATTGTAAATAAGTGTTAAATTTTACCCATTCCAATATTTTCCATATTAGATGAAGTGGAATGCTTTGGTCTACTGTATCTGGTGAATCACGCAAATTTTAACATTTTCCAAAAATTATCACACATTTTATATATATTATACTAGCTGAACCCGGTGCGCTTCGCTAACCCTTTTGATTTTATATGCATTCAAAATTTTATTTACGAATATATGTTGGTTAAAAAAAAAAATTAAAAATTAAAAAAAAAATTATTGCACTACTTTAAAGCGTAAATAACCAAAACCATTAGAAAAGCAGTAACATGACATACATACACGAAGGGTTTGTCCTTCGGATTTATTTATTTCATAGCAAATACCAAGCGTGAAGTAAACTGCAATCTTTTGAAGTTGAGTGGCATTTCTATTGCAATTAGTGAATTCGAGATAGCAACATACTTCGCCGTAATAAGCGTATTTCAAATCAATTGTTGTGTTGTTTTTTATACCCTACAACACTATGTGTTGGGGGTATTATAAGTTTGATTGGGCCAAAAATTATGTAACACCACGAAATATTGATTTCCCATATAGGAAAGTATATATGGATCTTCCTAGCTCGCCGAGCTGAGTCGATCTAGCTATGTATGTCCGTCCGTCCGTCTGTCCGTCTGTCCGTCTGTCCATGTTAATTTGTAATCACTCTACAGGTCGCAATTATGGCCCGAAATTTAGAATGGAGGTGGGGCTAGGGTCAGAATAGAACCCTATTTCTTTTGGAGATGATCGCCAAATGTTTAGGGGTCGAAATGGACCAAATACTGAAAAAATGTCGGATTTTGCAGTAGCTATACAGGTCGCAATTATAGACCAATCAACGCGGAATTTCGCATGTAGCTAGAGTTTAGGGCGGGGAAGAAGCCTACCAATTTGGGTGGTCATCGGATAATATTTAGCGGGTAAAATAGACCATATCTTTTTTGTTGAAAAAATTAAAAAAATTTCATTAAACCGCGAATATTTTAAATCCCGGTGAAATCACAAAGCCATGACAAGGTTACTTGTGATCTTTACATTGATGTTAACATCCAACAAGACGGATATATAGCAAAATATGTGCGATATATATATGTCTATCCAAGAAGATATGCTTGAAAGATCTCTTATATGTCGAGAACGGCTGAACTGATTTCGACAGTTCTCGTTAATTCAGAATGGTCCCTTGGCAGGAAAGAAAAAACGTCTAAAAAATCGCATAAAAATATCTCTCTAAACATGAAAATATTGATTTTGTAACATTTTCTCATATTTTTTCCATTTTGTCATATTTTTGGCATATTTTAATTTTTAATTAAACATTTGGTAATATTTCTACAGCTAACAAAACTAAGTTGACCGATCCTTACGAAATTTTGCATGGGGATAAGATGAGGGTCAGAATAGAAGTCTACTCTTTTTGGAGATGATCGTCATATATTTAGGGTTGAAATGGACCAAAAACTGCAAAATTGTCAGCAGGTCGTAATTATCGCCCAATCCTCACGCACATTTGAATGGGGGTTACCGGTCATTGCAAAAGCCAAGCAGTTTAGGATGGCCATCCAAAAATATTCAATGTGTGAAGGAGTTTGCCAACTTTTGTATACAAAATACGAAAATGTCCATTCCAGTGGCTTTTTGGAGAATTCACAAATACAGGAAAGACGCACTTCTGACTATTTCGTTAACGCTGATTTCGTTGAAGAATATAGTCAAATGTCTGTATCTCATATAGATGCGTTTCAGTCAAAAACCAATAATAAATGTAATTTTTCCCACTTCTGAGAGATTATAGGTCTTTTGGAAATATTGGTTCCAGATCTAGGAAGACCATTTACCAATAAATTGGAAATGAGCAAATTAGTTTAAGTTGCTATTATTCGAAAATTAGAGAACAAAACCTGATATTTTTTTCTTATATTATTTGTCACAATATCTTATGGAATTCTTTCGAGTATCTCGCCTATATAAAATGTATCATTTATTATAGTGTTGTAGGGTATTCAACGGTCGGCCCCGCTCGACTGTAGCCTTTGCTTACTTGTTAGTGTTAGCCTAAGATGTTGTGGGTCAATGGTTCTTATTAAAGTCATATCCCAATCTGATCCGATTTAAATATAATTTTAAAAAAATTACTTTTACACCAAACTCCGCCACACCGTTCATATTTCATTGAAATTGGTGCGTCAAATATGTGAAATCGGCCGATAATATATATATATGGGAGCTATATCCAAATCTTAACTAATTTCCAATTAATTTGTCACATTTATTATTGTAACCAAATTCCGCCACACATTCTGAATTTCATTGGTATCGGTCATATATATCATGTTTGGTGCATAACATGTATGAAATCGGCCGAAATATATATGGTAGCTATATCCAAACCTCAACTGATTTCAATATAATTTGGCAATTTTTTTCTGGTGCCAGATTTTGTCTCTCTCGCTTTGGGTGCATCAAATATGTGAAATCGGCTGAGTATATATATGGGAGCTATAATCAAATCTGAGCGTATAATTTGTCAAATTTATTTTTGTACCAAATTTAGCCACTCATGCCGAATTTCATTGGAATCGGAAATACGTATCGTGTTTTGTGCATCAAATATGTGAAATCGCCGGAAAACATATATGGGAGCTATATCCAAATTTGAACCCATTTTAATATAATTTGACTAATTTATTTTCTAATCAAAATCCCGTTACATATTCCAAATTTCTTTGGAATCGAACATACATATGGTATTTTATGGTATGGTGCATAAAATACATGAAATCGGTCGAAAATATATATGAGAGCTATATCCAAATCTGAACCAATTTTAATATAATTTGACAAATGTATATTTGTTTTAATTTCCGCTACACATTCCAAATTTCATTGAAATTACAGATACATAGCGTGTTTGGTGCATCAAATACATGAAATCGGTCGAAAATATATATAGGAGCTATATCCAAATCTGAACCGATTTCAATATAATTTGACAAATTTATTTTCGGATTAAATCCCGTCACACATTCCAAATTTCATTGGAATCGAACATTCATATTGTGTTTGAGGCATCAAATGCACGAAATCGGTCGAAAATATACATGGGAGCTATATCCAAATCTGAACCGATTACAATATAATTTGGCAAACTTATTTTTGTTCCAAATTCCGTTACGAATTCCAAATTTGGAGACTGTATCTTCAACCAATCAATAGATATGTGCATATAAAATCTAAATTTTTGGGAGGTACCTCCGATTCTGATGCTATATCTCCAGTTCCAAATGGAAATTCAAAAATGTATATAGCCTATGTTACTTTCAGGCGATGTTGCAGTATATATGGAAATTTTCAGGAAAATCTATTCAGCGGTTTTCGAGTCCATAAATTACAAACAAACCAACAAACATACAAACATTTTCCTCTTTTATAGATATAGAAGATAAGGTAGTCTATATAGTGCAAATATTACACCTTGTATTATTTATATCAGACTTTGGTGAAACACGGTGGTGGACTAGATTATTACAACAGCGCACGGAAACGACGACTATGGACATAACTCTTAAATTGGGTTTATGACATCTTCGACGTGGTTTACGCTTTGCAATTTGCAAAAGGAGTAACTCATTACTGTTATTTTGATTTCCTAGCAATGCTGAAGGTTTAAGGACAGAAACATTCTCAATAGACGGTAGCGTATCATACTTACCACAACGAAATAACCATTTTTATTGTTTTTTTTTTTTTCAAATAAAACAACACTACTGTTAGAATGTATTTGTTACATTTATTATTAGTTTGTGTGTGTTGTTATTACTTCAATTGTTATGTATTTTTGTATTCTCAATTTTTTTTCTCTTTTGTTCTTTTTTTGTAATGTTTAAAAGTTATTACATCATAATTTATTTAACACTCGTTTTTTATAATTTAATTTCATAGTTTTGTTTAATATAAATAGTTAAATAAATTAATTTATTTCCGGATACTTTTTGTAGATCATAGGTGTTTTATTTTTTTTCCTTTTTTGTTTTGTTTGAATATTTTTATTCCATTTGTTCCGAATTGGGGAGCGGTTGCATTTTTGTTATTTTTAGATTATTTCATGTTAATGCAATCGAGAATTTTTATGGTCATGTGGTTATGTTAATATTTACAATTGATAATTACAGATGGGCAACAAAATTAACGAGTAGTTTTGTTCATGGTTGATATTTCACTTTAGGTATCTACTTAAATATTATATTTATATGTATAGCTATGTGTACGTCGTGAATTTGAATGCCAGCACATGTGTATGCATGTACATGTACAAATAAATATGTGTGTGTATGTGTACATAATGTATTTGAAATAATTGTAGCCGTATTCATACTGACATTCAATGTCATCAAGGGAATTTGTGGTATAAATGGATTAAATATTTTACAACAATTTATTGGAACATTAGTGTATTTTGAATTGATTCAAAAAACAATGCTCATATAAATAACACCCCCGTAAATATGTCTTTAGCTATGTTTTTCTGGTCACGATGTGACTTTTGTAAAAAAGGACACGAAACAATGTGAGGCTACTTTAAAACTCATAACTTCTTGCCGAATAGTAGTTTTATCAAAATGTAATTGGACAGCGATTTTCTTTTGATTAAAATAATATTACAATCCAATGTTAAATACACCAATTTTCGAATTTAATTTTAAATTTTGAATTTGAGCGAATCCATAAGTTCTTGCATGAAAAATGTCTCCCAGTCAAATCCATCAACCCTCAGTAATACAACTGAATCTTTCGTAATGCTCGAGTTCACAGGCATCTCCATTAACCTATCCTGACAATTGTTACCAGATATCGATTAAATAGCCTTATGCATGAGAGGTATTGCTCATGTGTTAAGGTTATTGCTGTGTTGATTCGGTCGCATGATGTAGGGTAGAACCCCTTAGCCCCGGATTATTTTTAATCAGCAATGATACAATAAATATAGAATGTATCGACAATAATAACAAATATGAGTTAAGTAAATTCAAATCAAGTAACAGATAGGAATGGCTGAAAACATTAACACATATCTATGACGTCACTTTATAGAGATACAAACATATATAGCGATGACCTCTGCACCAACCACTCTTGTGCTGGTTGCGCTGGTTTTTATGCGCTTTAAATAATTAATGATGTAAATATTAATGGCGTAAATTAATTGATAGTATTTGAGTGTGTTGAACAGGAATGCGAGTAAAAAATATGTAAAATAAATCATGTGATTTGTAGCGCCATAATTTATGTTAATGACAGTAAACATGAAATATATCCGCAAGAATACATGTGTAAATTCGGCACGTGGTTCTGATGCTTTACAAATTAATTTATTGTTGTTTTGTGTAAAATATGAAATGTTTTTCTTCTTCTATTTTCTCAACATTGAGATGTTTCCGTAATGGACTGGTACTCGTATTCGAAAACATTTTCTGTCAAAGGTAAGAGGCTAAATGATTTATTTAGAACTAGATGAATATATTCACATTAAGCATTTCAACACATTACACACGCAAACTATAAGTACGTGTCTATGATGGAAATCAGGATGTATGTGTAACTCCGATTCCAAATCCTAGAGAGAATGTAATTGAGGTCGAAGCGGAATAGTTGAAAACTATCCGTTGTATCCTGTTACAAGGAAAAAAGCTAACTAGTAAAAAAGGGTTCCCGTAAAAAACTTTTGTCTTAACCGTAAATTAAATAACTATGTCTGCTCAAAACCTCGATTTGATCCCTTATCACAGAGAAAGGTAGAAAAATTTACTGAATGATAACGCAATTAAAAGTGATATATTTAAGGTTGAATCCTGTGTAGAAGAAGACACAGCCTCCTTGAAGAGGTCATATTTCTGTCAGCTAGTTGCTCCCTCTACTTTCGTTGCAATGAGAGAAGCCTGGCGAGGATAAAGTCGTACGGTCTGCCTAAGAAAAGCCATGTCGCAAGAAATCTTGTGAGAGAAAAGCAATTTGAATTGCGACGGTCGCCTGTAGAAACTGACATCTCCGATACAAAAAGTCAACCCTAAAATTTAGTACAAATATTTAAAGGCTGCTATAATGCTCCTTTTGTTGTCTACTAAAGGATAATTGTCCTTAAGCAACTGCATAAATTACGACAAGTGTGGTTTGATATCGAATGTTGCCTTAATAGTGCGATTTCCTGTTAGAGAATCGACCGATTAAGTAGTCACTAAGACCAGTCGATAGATACAACGTTGTCCATGAAAATTTTGCGTTTAAAAGTTACGGATTTTTGTTATTAACGGCTGAAAAAGTTAGTTAAAACATTACAAGTTCTATTCTTATTTGTAAATTCGATCAGAAGTTCAAATACGTCATATTATATATTTTCCATGACATTGTGTCAAATTTGACATTTTTTTCAATATAATAAAATATTTACGATTTACATAACTTGAAATTTGAAATATGAAGAGATGGTCGTACTGTAACTGCAAAATAATGCAGGATTGTTGCGGTTATATCGTTTATGAATGTCTTGTATTTAAAATAAACTAATTTCTCAGTAGGTTAAACGATTGAAATCATATTTGGGTATCAAACATTTTCCTGAGCACACAGACTTACTGACATTTCAGAATTTTCTATCTAAACGAAATATACATAAAAATTAGTATTAATCGGAAACTGTTGTTAAATGTCACAGATTCTCCGTATTGAAATATTTTTTATTGTATTGAGAAAACAAAATTCTATTTAAATGGGATTGCCTACATAAAATTGGATTAGCTATTTGCAAAGCTCTCACCAGAACTAGGTTTAGTTTTAATCGATGTTTAAATGCCCACTCAACAGGTCACGAAGCGAAATAGCTCTCCAATTTTCGTTGGCCTTGAAATCACTGATTGCTGATTTTATGTAACCAAATGTGTTTTTTTTCTCTTTCTGTCTCTCTTGTCAGTTTGCCAAGCCCATATTCGCGTGTCAGCTCATATATCATTTGCACTCGAGCCATTAAATTGTTTGGTTTTTATTTTTGTTGTGTTTTGGTTTTTGTTTCGGTTCCACAAGTTTACATTTTCTCATTAGCATAAATAATGTAGTTTTATTTATGAATATGACAGATTCTATTTTTGGTGTTGTTGTTGTGTTTTTGTTATTATTTTCACTTTTCATTATTCATTCTTAAATTAAACCCCAAGCCTTAATGTTATGGTTGGCGCATTTGGAATGGAAATGTCTTTGCTTCGGAATTTTCTCTTAAAATATGTGTGTGTCTGTATATATAAACACATGCATATGTGTGTACATTGTTTTTTTTTGTTGTTATGAAATTAATTCCATTTATGAATTTGCAATTTAATTTAAATTTCTATCTGTGGTATTTAAATTACCATTAGAAGTACATTTCGAAATATTTTCCGAACAACAACGTCAACAAAGTTGTTGTCATACAAAAGTTTTAGGGCATTAGTTATTAAAATCCTTACACTTGCATACGCTGACATCACACATACATATATACACGCACTTGCATACATGTGTGCTTGCATTTTAATATCTATCCATAATTAATGCTGCATTTCGTTCGTATGATTTCAATTTTAATTTAGTTTTCGTGTTTCTTGATTGGTTGTTGTTGGGTCGGTTGGTCTGTCTGTCTGTCTGTCGGTCGGTCGTTTGGTTTGTTTTCAATTGTTGTTCAGTTGCCTATTTGCAATGTCACAGTGTTTGCCTAGAACTTACTTAGATTGTAATTATAAAAATGCATCCGAACAAATTCTTCTTGTTGTAGGTTGTGGTTGTTGTTGTTTTTGTTGTCTTTAGTTTTTGCAAACACACACACTTAAACAAACAAATCTTAGATTAAATTTATACCGAAAGTATTTACAAAAGATATTCAACTGAAATGGTATGCGGCAAATTTATTTAAATGTAATTAAATACGAATGCCTGGTAACGGAGCTAACAGCATTTCTGGAAACGGTTGGATTGCGGAACTGTACACGAGTTTATAGTTGGGAGGCGGAAATGGAAGTGGAGATCCGAATGAATATTTTCGAAGAGAAGAAATGGATGGAAGCATGGAATAAAACCAATCAATTTTCAATTAATTAAGTTATACTATTCTTTTTACGTTTCTTCAATATTTTATTAGGTTGAGTAAATCTATTGTGGACATGTGGTGATTTTTGACACTGCTTGTATTTTACTAGAAATTTACATATATTTATTATTATTTTAGCCTTGTTTGTATGTCTGTATGTTTGTGTGGGTAAGTGAGTGGTACGAGTGTGTGTGTGTGTGTGTGACAGGGTTTTGCTAACTGTTTAAACAATAGATAAACACTAATTACAATATTTGCTAAATATACATAAATTTTAGTTAGTTTTGTACATACATGACTAAATTTTAATATTAAACCTTAACATTTGTAAATTTCACTTAAATAGGATTTAATTTACTAACACTGCATTCATCTAGAGATGGCTACACGAAAAAGTCTTAAGTAAGAAAGATACGCCTGCAATGGGAGAAAAGAAGAAAGGCATATTATGATATAGTGTTAGCATATATTTTTGCAATATAATATTGAAATTTCTTTTTTAATTACAATCGAGACATTATAGTAAAATGTTAATTTTAGTGCGTGAAAGTCAAATAGCATATGAAACAAAAAAGAGTATCTTACAAAAAAATACATATGCTTTTGATTGTAATGTTTAAAAAACAATTCAATTCGACATAAAATGATGAATTGTACAATGTAATCAAGACATGCAATGTACAAATTATAGATGAATATTTCTTTGTTATAGAAATTAAAAGTATATCGCTATTATTAAATGTGCATATAATAAATAAAAGAGTGGATATTTATATCCTACACCACACTTTGTAACATGGAGAAGGAAGCGAGTTAGACTCATAGTTCCTTTGATGTTCTGCATAGAATCAAATTCTGAGTCGATTTATGTATGTCCGTCCGCCCGTCAGTCCATGTATTTTTATAAATAAAGTACATTAATTGCCCGATCAGGATGAAACTTCGCACAAAACATTTGTTTGGCCCAAGGACGAACCCTCTTGAAATTTGAAATAATCGGTTAAGATTTAGATGTAGCTCCTATATATATCTTCACCCGATTTGCCTTTCATTGTGCACCAAATGTGTAATATCCGCCAAATCGAATTTTGCACATACTACCAAATGAAGCCTGGAAATAAGTATGCCAAATATCATCGAAATCGGTTCAGATATAGCTATAGCTCCCATATATATTGTTCTTCCGATTTGTTACTTTTTGTCTTGCTGAGCCGTAATATGCACTGCCTAACCACGATATTCGGAAAAATATATCAAAGACAGCTCAGAAATACATTTGCCAAATTTTTTCGGTTCAGATTTGGATATAGCTCCCATATACATTCACTCGATTTCAAGTTTATTGTGCACCAAATGGATAATATAAGCCCGGATTGAACAAATTAAGCCTGCAAAAAAGCGTATCAAATGTTGTGAAGATCGCTTAAGATATAGCTATAGGTCCCATACATATGTTTCATCCGGGTCTGTACTTTACTCCCTCACACCGGTAAAACATTCTCTACAACAACCATATTTGATTCCAACCATCAGATACAGCATAGCATATCTATGCTAAATTTTATAGAGATCAGTTCAGATTTGGATATATATATACATATATCTTCATCCGTAATGTAATGTAACTGTAATAGCAGCCGAAATAGTATGGAATTTGTAACCATATCGATTCCGAAACAAATGTCTTCGTCAAGTTTAGTAGAGTACGATTGATTCTGAAAGTCATAAGAAATTTATAAAAGTTATTAAAAAATTTTCTTTATATTATAATGGTGTTACAATCGTGCTTTTGCCAAGCAGAGAGAACATTTCTTAAAACAATTCGTGATAAGTTGCAAAATTCCAATCGAGGAACATTGCAAAGCAGTTACGTTAGCTTCGCAAAAGATTTCTTACTGAAGAAGAAATAGAGCTTCTGAAAATGCGACTTAAACAATAAAATTTTAAAAATATCTCCTTCTTTTCAAGGTTGACGGATCCGCTATTCGGAAACTAAAAATACCTAGTAGGGAAAGACAAAAGTTGGTCGGGTGAACATTTGAAATCGGTTGAGACTAATCTGTGAAAGCATCGATCATTTCTATGTTACGACTTTCAGAATACCTAAATATAAAATCATATGAAACTACTTATTTGGACAAATGTAGCGTCCTTAATATATTATTTACACCTAATTAGAGAGAAATATATATGTGAAATACATCTAAATCTGAACCGATTTCGACAAAACTTGGCAAAGGTATTTTTAGGATGTTCCTTATATCTCGTACCGAAAATACTTATTATTGATATAGATTTGGGGGACATAGATATATAATCGAATAAAACATATATATGAGAGCTATAGCTAAATCTTAACCGACTATGCTAAATTTGTTCATCTGTGTCAAAATTCATTCCATTTGGGTTAATATTGCACATTTGGTGGACAATCGAATCGAACGAAGATATATTAAAACTACATCCAAATCTGAACAGATTTCGTCAAAACGTCAAATGCCAAGGGTATATCTTGTGCGTAATATCATTGTTATGGAGTGAAGTTTACGGATGTGGTGGACAAATCGGTAGAAACACATATATGGGAACTAAGTCTAAATCTTAGCAGATTTTCATCGATTTAAACATATTTATTTATAGGCTGAATTCTGTTGTGTGTGCTAAAATTTATCAAATTTTGGTATATATTATACTTTTGGTGCGCAATAAACTTGAAATCATGCGAACACATTTACATAATCGGTCATATGTGCTTTATGTAAATCTGGACTGATTATCACCAATTTCAATAGCGTTCGCTCTCGGGCCAAACACATGATCTGTGCCAAATTTCATTGCAATCGAACAATAAATGCTACTTGTATTTTGCGTACATAACACATGAACAGACGGATGGATATGTATACATCGATTCAAAAAAGGTTCTATGTAGATGATAAAAAGGAACTATGTGTTTCCGTTTGCATGTTACAAACCAATGACCAATATATAACACCGTGTACAAAATTTTGGGTCGGGTATAATTACTGTCCCATGAAAAAAGTGTGGAATATATTTACTTGTAATTTCGACTTACCGCATTCCTAGTGTGTTCACCAAAACGCATGGTGCCACAACGTACATAAAAATGGCAGCGATACGATCAGCAGATGATGTTTTTCTTCTCGATATTGCAGCCATATTATCACCTGAAATAAAAAAGAGAGACAACATACATTAACCACAGATATGTATTTTTTTGGAATTTTATTTTGAGAAGAAATTAAAAATAAATTAAAACGTAGCAGTCTGTATTCCGACAGATATATAATCTCAGTCCATGTCCGTTTATTTGAAATTTTCTTACTTTCGTAATGATTATTCCTCCCAAACACTCATGAAAAATTATTGTTTTTTAATCGAAGAAGTAATCTAAGCTGTTTTCCAGGTAATAATATCATAAGAAATATAATTCAAGTTCTTCAAGAAGAAAACAATAAAATTTGCGAAAAGTCGATTTCCAAGGAACTTGATACCCATATTTTGGTAAAGTGACGTGGCATAGTATTTTTCAGTCCCTAGCAAATAGTTGATTACATACTTTTAAATTATAAAAAGTCCCTTATTTTTATCGGCAATTAAAATGTTTCAATGCGTAAAATCTGTGGTTGACTTAACTTACCTTTTGACACAAATACATATATGCTGGCTGGTTCTGTGTTGCTCGCAGAGCATGTATAATTCCCGGAGTCTGATATCTGTGGTTCTCTTATTATTAAACGACTTTGGGTTCGGGGACCCGGTGTCGTTTCAATTGAAATGTCTCGTCTGGAATCGTAGTAGTTAATTAATCGCTCATTCTTTTGCCAAAAAACATATTGCGGAGGTGTTGGACTCTGAAATGGCAAACAATTTGTTAAAAGGTTAGAAATTTTGGATATAATAAGAGGGCGTTAAGATCTGTAGTATCCTTATATTGTGTAATAATCTTCAGTCTACATTTTCAATTTGCATTTTTATAAAATATTTGTCCGTAGTCTCACATTACAACTCCCAATATCCTTAATATCTTATATTTATTTTTATCGTTTACCAATTTAATATATATGTATTATTTCAGACGCAGTTATGCAAATATCATATAAAATGTAATTATTGGTCTTTTGGAAATAGTCCCTATGGGCGTATGATAAACCTTATTTTGTGTTGTTACTACAACCTAATACGACGTGTGGGAAATATGGGAAAAAGAAATTTAATAGTGTTAACTATACAATTCCGAATAGGTTATATTCATATTGATATTAAAACTGCATTATTTTTTGATGAAATTTTGTGCATTATTGGCCACAATTTACATTTCGCATTTAAAGCAAGAAAAAACTTCATAAAAACTATTGTATGGCAACGAGTTATTAAGGGAAGCAATAGATTTGAAAATCTACCTTTCAAACGCCTATTTGATAATGCAAGACTCAAAATATTCGAAATTTTTATATAGTTACCTGCTAAATAGTAGCCCAAAATGCACAAACATTATTGGCATATTTTCAGAATTGCAATTAAATATAGAGTGATCCCAATGAACTAATATACAGGGTGAGATGAAAAAACTGCAACCAACTTCAGACTGCTGTCATTTACAAGCCACTCGTCCGACAGCTGTCAAAATTATTCCTGTGACATCTCATTAAATTGTTTACAAGAATTTTGGTGAGAAGTTTCCAGAAAAAAAGTTATTCCTGATGGAAATCAAGCGTGGTACTGTGATTTCTTTATATTTGGCTGGAAAACCACAAGTGGCTATTATTAGAGCACTCCAGCATTTAAATGTGAATAAATTTTTGTGTCTCATACTCTACCATCGCTCGTTACCGTAGCCCGAAGTCAAACAAGTGGACGGAAGAAAACAGCAACATCTGCAGAAATGGTTCGAGAAGTAAAAAAGCGACTTGATCGAAACTCGCGTTGCAGAGGCCGAAAAATGGCTCGTGAGCTGAACATATTGCAATATTCCATTCGGTAAATATTGAAACATGAGCTCGGGGAAAAGCCATTGAAATTCCAAAAAGTGCAAGAACTTACACCGCAACAGAAAGAAAATCGACTCAAAAGAGCTATAGAGTTTCTTAGCTTGGCCGGAAGTGATGAAATGCCGAATTTGGTTTTCTTCGATGAGAAAACATTTGGTGTCCAGCAGTTTATAAACAGACAAAATGATCGTGTTTATTTGCCAAAGAAGTCAGCTTAAAGTGTGCACCTTCGGTTGGACACCAGAACTCAAGCGCCGGCCATGGTGATGGTGTGGGCCGCCATAATAGCCGATGGTCTCTCTCCGCTCGTATTAATCGACTGTGGCATCAGAATAAATGCCGAATATTATCGCGAAAATATTCTGAGGCCGTATGCAAATATTTTGGCCGCAGACCTTGGACATTCCAAAAGGACTTAACACCGTCGTACTTAGCACGCGCCACCCAAGACTGGTTACAAAATGAGGTACCTCGCTTAATTTCCAACGCACAATGGCCACCAAAATCTCCGGATAGCAATCCGTTAGACTGTTGTGTCTGGTGTGTGTGTTGTGGAAAGCAAGGTTGGCACTAAAAATACCAAACTGTCGATCACATCAAACAAGCGCTTCTCCGGGAATGGGCCAAAATACCGCCGAGCAATATTCGGACAGCGTGTGACGGTTTCATTGGCCGTTTGAAGGTCATAATTTGCGCCAACGGCGACCAGTTCGAAGAAATCTAAACTTATTCTAAAATTTGAAACGATTTCCGACGTACCAATTTATATACACGAATAATGCCAAATATGTGTTAAACAATCCCATAAAAAAATACTTCAAAATTCTCTCAACTCTATTAAGTCGATAGAAAAGCTTGTTTTTAACCACAACAAATAAGCAGTCCCCCAAATTGTTAAAGTCTTGTAAGTACGAGTAAACAAATGTATTTCTTTGAAATACATGTCTCTCAAGGGCATATTTTCACAAATAAATTTGCAGAATAACCCCACCTTAAATTGGATTTAGAACTTTTCACGTTTGCTTGCTCATATGCATTAAAAATGTTCATACATAATTCAGTTTTTTTCCTTAAGTATTTATTTTAGATAATTAAACAAAACAACAAAACTATGATAAACTCAAATTGAAAGCAATTTCCATATGAAAAAGAACAATCAATTTGCATAATAATTTTTGCTCTTGGCCCAAACAAAGAAGAAAAAAGCGAACGGATAGAAACTGAAGTAGTTGCCAAAGCCACCAACCCCAATCCCAACCCAACACATCGGATATAATAAAATAATAACAGAGTATATATATATATATATATATATATATATATATATATATATATATATATATATATATATATATATATATATATATATATATATATATATATATATATATATATTTAAACCCATTGCTTCTTCATACCGCCACTAAGCAAGACATATCTCAATGATTCATTCGTTGTGCTGGCGGTGGAAAGGAAAAGGAGAATGGGTTGTGGCTGCCAGTAAACTAAAACATATTCAGGTTGGGAGTGCGCTAAAAACGAAGATTGAAGGGGTTGGCAAACGAGGACGATAAGGTTTTTGTGTTTCTTTTAGTTTATAAAAATCTACAAACTTTTACCAATGCTGAAGTAAAATATTGCGGATTCGCGATTCTCGCAAACGAACCCTCTTTGATTTTCATGCATAACAATGAGTGCGGTAAAAACAATGACAGAAGAAACATCCAACAATAAAAATACCAAATAAATAATAAAAGGAATATGAATCTCAAAACTACGGCGGGAAGATGCGACCCTGTCATACTCATACACAAGACAACGCTCCATGCATAGTTGTTGACTTCATCAAAGGAAAAGAGACATTCACAATCACTCACAAAGTTGTTTGTGATAAGCAAAAAAAGTTTTCTGACATCGGTCCATTGTGAAAGTTGTGCTTTATAAGTGAATCTGATATATATAGATGTGTATACACGCACAAACACATACCTAAGTACGAACGAATAATTTCAAATGTTAAAAAGCACCCACCATAAGTTTGAGCTTGAAAGTTATAATTCAAGGTTTGACGCAGGGGCTAACAAAACTATTGGATCGATCAACACGTGTCTTTTATAGCACTATTTGTTTTGAAGTTTGTTTTGAAAGTACGTACGGTTATTTTAAACATAACTCTCTAATACCATATCTTTATTCATAAGTCTTTTAGAATCTTAAATGAGAAATTAAAATATACTCAAGAAAACTAAACTAACTAAATCAAGCTATTTACACATATATCAATCCCAAATCAGAAATTTCTATGTGTCACGCCTTAAAAATGTTTGTTTACATTAAGGCATTTTCCAGAATAACTCAAAATGGATTAGTCTACTTTGTCAAGAGCTTAATATCCTCAGCCTTGAAAATTATGATAAATCTAGACAAAGTATTAGTATTGACCAAAATTTACTTAATTTTGGCGTAAAATGGGAAAACAATGCCAGTGAAAAAGCGGGCCTATAAAACCATATGTTCATAAATAACTTCATAAATATATCATAATTTCTAGTTTCTTGTCCGAGCCACGGCGTATGCCTTGAAATAAATACATTTATTAAACAAGTAAGCAAAGGCTATAGACGTTTGCTTGTCTACGATATTTGCCTATAATCGTCAACGAAATCAGCATAAAAATCCAGAAGTTCGCCTTTTGTGTATTTTTGATTTCTCATGCAAGTTATTTTCAGCGTTTCGGTAGAATCGAAATGTTTTTTCATGGAAAAGTAGTGGTCCATACTACACGCTGTCCTAAACTCTAAATTCATGCCAGATTTCGTGTTCTTTCGTTTCTATTGTGACCTTTATAGCGGCTGCAAAATCAGGAATATTTGTTGGCCCATTTCAACCGCTAAATATATTGCGGACATCTTCTGAACCTAACCCTATCCTTGTGAAAATTTTCGTGAGGATCGGACGATTATTGCAATCTATATATAATAACCCCAACCTGCGTTGTAAGGTGAAAAAAAAAAATATTACAAAATGTACACTTCAATATTATAAGTTAAATTGAAAAAATCACATGCATAAAATATATGAAAGAATAAAAATATGTCACAAAATACTACAAAATCGATATTAACATCATTATTGACATTTTTTATGCGTTTCTTTTTTAGATTTTATACTTTTATGACAAGAGGGGAATTGACCAAATTTGTGAAAATCGGTCCAGCCATTCTTGAGATATAAACATTCTAGCTAACATCACCTTCTTTTGTGGATACACATTGTATATATTTCGCGATATATTTACTATCGGCATCTACATAACGGTCATAATTGACCTGTTCGTCTATTTTTGATTTCGCCGGTATTAAAAATATTCGCGGATTAATGGAAAAATTGACTTTTGTTCAACACAAATGCTATGGTCTATTTAATCCACTAAATATTATCCGATGAGCATCAAAATTGGAAGACTTCTGCCCAGCCCTAAGCTCTAGCCTCATACTAACTTCCGCGTCGATTGGTCCATAATTGCGTCCTGTAGAGCAACTGCAAAATCAGGAAAATGTTCAGTTTTTGATCCATTTCAACCCCTAAATATTATGTGATAATATCCAAAAACTATAGGGTCCTATTCTGGCCATCTCCATTCCATTGCGACCTGTAGAGTGATTACAAATTGACATGGACAGATGGACAGACGGACATACATAGCTAGATCGACTCAGCTCGGCGACATAGGAACATCCATACATACTTTCCCATGTGGGAAACCAATATTTCGAGGTGTTACATAATTTTTGGCCCAATAAATTTTATAATACCCCCAACACATAGTGTTTTATAATGAGGTATCAAACGAATCGTATCTATATGGTCCATATCTCCTCTGGATATTAGTGGGATAATTATGCAACGATGCCAACTGCTTTAGTAGGTTACCAATACAACTTCACTTTTAGTTTATATTTTGCTTGCAACTAGTCCAAATCATTCGCGCATATAAACATTTATATGTCGTTTCGTCCCGTTGAGCAATGCTATTTTTATTGCAATTTGTTTTTAAGAATTCAGAAAATAATCGCATTCATTCAGCACAGGTGAATGAAGTCGACAGTGAACCGAAAGTGCATCAAATTGTAACCCGAGAATCTCTTACCTTAGCTCTCTTAGGTTCCTAGATCGGATATGTTTTTAACTCGCTCCTGCATTAAGCCCCTACCTGAACTTGAGTTTCTCCTGTGATTTTAGTCATAACATTCGATACAGTCAACCGATGGTTTGTGGCTAGCTCTTTGGTTACATCCCACTTAACGCTCCTAATCAGATTAATATTTATATGAATTTTACCACAAACGGTTTTTTTCACTGTTTCAGGCCGAAAAAATCTTCAAGGCCAGCTCTCTTTCGTAGACAGTTCTTCTTTCCTTTTCATTTCAAAAAAAGTAGTGTTGTTCCGGAACGAACTAGTTCTAGGGACGGTTCAGTGAAATAAAAATCATGCTCTTTCATTTATTTAGTTCCTTCCGTTATTTTCACTGAAGCCACATGCTGAACAAATTCATGGAAGAGAATTTAGGTTTTTTGAAAGAGACAGAGGAGAGGGGCGAGTTCATTCTTCCTCGTTTTTAGATGTAAAAGCTCAATCTAAGTGCACACGCAAAATTTTGGCATGTAGTTTCAGCATTTCTTTATCTAGTTCAAACATCCACAGATTCATAACTTTATCTTGTCGCTGTTGGATTTTTATTTTGTTTGTTTTTGTCCATGCGTATACAAAAGTATAACATATCAAAGTAATTTTTTATCGGAATATAATTTTAAACAAGTGAAAAAAACACACAACAATACGTTTATATATAAATGGGTTAACCCAATAGATTTGGATTAAAATTGTCATATCCATTACCAATAATTCAAATAAATCCTCTTGAAGTAGGTTAACCCTGCAAAAAGTTCTAATGTAAACATGGCATAAGTTTGGCGGGGCCGCACCTTTAATAACTTCTCTCATTTAAAATAATCTTTACAATTTTAAATAATTTCCATGAAAAATGCTACGAAAATTATTCAAACACCAGGAATCGGGTATAGTTGTTGTAGCCAAATATCTGTGGTGAAGGCGATAACTATTGCGAACTTATAATACCAATTTTGTGTTATACGGGGCTATACGAAGATGTGAACTGTGAACGTGTATAAGTAATTTTCTGTCATTGAAGGGAGCACCCATTGCAATATCCAGGTACTAAATTTAAAGCAATTGCTGTGAAAAAATGGTGAAAATATCAATTATCGTGAGGTATAGTTGAATAGTTGTTTGGAATTATGTTTTCCACATACTGAAAACACAATCCCAATACCCACAATACTGTAAATCTTCCGGTACAGTTTTATGGATGCTATACCATAACGTAAACCTTGTGGTCCATTTCCAATACTAAAAAATATTCGGTCCTAAAACGAATCTCATCCAAACTTTATAAATATCCTTCACTTCGTTCGGAAGCAAGAGTTATTTCTACAGATGGACAGAAAGTCGGATGGACTTGGCTAAATCGACATAGATTCTTATGCTGATCAATATTATATGTATGGTGTAAAATACTTATTTCGAGGAGTTCAAAACGGAATGACAAGCTTAATATGCCCTCCATACTATGTATGGTGAGTGCTATATGGATGACCAAATGATTGAGAAAGTTAGGAACTATTTGGAATGAAAGAAAGAATTTCCGAACTTAGTTCCTTTTGAGAAGAGGTAACACTAGTAAAGAGGTGGTCCAACACTAGTAAAATTTACTCAATAATATGTAATGAGTGAATTTTCTCTCTTATGTTTAAATATTTTAAAAATTTATCGAACATAATTCAATAAAAACCAGAAGAAAAGCAACGGTCTGCTTTTTTAAATGGAATGATGCAATGGCGAATGCTTATTATTTGAAAGATTATTGTTTTAATAAAATTATTTCCTGAAATATTTAAAAATTTTTTACATCGGCCACAAAACTGATGAGTTTCAATCAGCCGCTGTTTCTGAATAATTCTTGTAGAGAAATTGTTCCCGATAAGAATTTGCAAATTCCAAGTTCTTTGACTGACAAAATTGCTCTCTTCACTCGCACTTATATCTTATGTAATTGTTTGTACAAATTATTGGTTTTTTGTACAAACCTAAATAAATTATAAGACGCATGTTATTACAAACGGTGCCTTAAGGTTGTCCTGGCATTTTGTTGTTGCAATTAATATATATATAAATAGCAAAATATACCATTGATAGCGAATATTGCAAATGTCAAATTGTTGAACTATAGACACATAAATTAACACAGTAATTACTTCACTCACCTTTTCAATTATGCAAACTAAATTGATTGTTGATCCCATGTCGACATGTAATTCGCCAGAACCTAAAATAAATGCTTCTGGCACAACCACTTGAAGGTTAACGAAATGCGATATGATGCCAGTGGGTGTTGAAACCTGAAAATTGACCAGATAAAATTACATTAAAATATGTATTTTAATTTTAATTATTTGCGCATATATCAAATAACATAATTATTTTCATTAATTTAAAAGAGCAGAATCATAATAGTTGTGATAATTACAAAAATTTTCGTTTTGATATTTCAGAAATAAAAAACTTGGCTGCCCGATATTATTTCGTGTAAGCAAAGACAAATGCTATGTTGCAGAGTGAAACACATGTTGGTAGTAACTAAAGGTTGTTTTTTAAGCTAGATAGAAATTTAAATTGTAAAAAGTAACACAAAAAATTAAATTTTGATGAAACTTTTTTTTTTATTTATTTCAGTATACTCTGACAAATCAACATGAATAGACGCTTGAACAACGCTACGAAATTATCCAAATTTACTTTGATAATCAGGCTCTAGAGCAGTTGGTAAATGACCCGTTGTTTTATCGCAAAATGCTGTTCAGCGATGAGGCGCATTTTTGGCTTAACGGATTTGTTAATAAGCAAAATTGCCGCATATGGAGTGAGACCAATCCGCAAGAGACCCTACAGATTCCCTTACATCCAGAAAATGCACCGTATGGTGGGTTTTCACGCTGGTGGCATCATCGGACCTTATTTCTTCAGGCCGGAGCTCGCATTACGGTCAATGGGGATCGTTACCGCACCATGATTAATGATTTTTTGTTTAAAAATATGGATGACATTGATCCGGAGGAGATGTGGTTTCAACAGGATGGCGCTACGTGCCATACGGCGAACGCAACCATCGTCTTTTTGAAATCAAAGTTTGGCGATAAGTTAATTTCGAGAAGTGGACCTGTCAATTGGCCTCCAAGGACATGCGATTTGACACCTCTCTATTATATCGTGGTGCTACGTGAAGTCACTGGTTTATGCTGATAAACCAGCAACAATTGACGCCTTGGAGGCCAGCATTGTTCGTGTTATTCGTGACATTCGGCCAGCAGTGCTTGAAAAACTGGCCAAAAATTGGACGTCCAGAATTCACTTCGTGAAGAACAGCCGCGGTGCCCATATGCCCGAAATCATTTTCAAATGTTAATGTCACGTATTGATCTTTCGAATAAAAAAAAAATTGATTAAAATTTAATTTTTTGTGTTATTTTTTACAATTTCAAGTTCTATCGGGCTAAATACTTCCTTTACAATAGAAGAGGATCTAAATCCGTTGGTGACCGTGGTATGGCATTTCACAAAATTTTCTTTTTTTTTTGTTGTAATTTTTGTATCGCATTTCGAAAGAAAGGTTCCCCTATTTGCTCAAAACATATACACATTTTATGTATGTGTATATTGTTTGAAATAATAACGAAAAAAAAAAATATAGTGGAACAAAATTTTACAAATTTGGAATAAAAATATTGTCCTTCTATATTGGAATCAAGTTTGTAGATTAAACCCAATACATGTTCTGTGGATTTTCTCTAATATACATTTTATGAAAGGCCAAAAGTCAGGCAGGTCCTACTTTATGATACCCTTCATCACCTTGCATATTTAGTAGAGCTACCCATAACAAATAAACGAATTTATAATAAGAAGGGTATGGCATAATAAAACTAATACAGAGTTGAAACGCTGAAACTAAACTATCTTCCTGGTTGCACAATGTTTAACACTTTATGTTTGAGCAAAATTCGCCACACATTTCGCATTTAATTAGAGTTATGATTATTCGCAGTTGTGTGGGGAAAGTTCAATTTCTGGGCTAATTGTAACACGAATATAACCATATCTTGCACGTGTGGACTACATCGATTACCATATGTTGAACTATGGAACAATGTATGATGTAACATGGTCTTTATAGCATCATTCTCTTACAATTGGTGGTAAAAGGTTGCTATGTAGATTCAGCACCCATACATATGTACGAATCTGAACCGATCTCGATAAAATTTGGCTAATACATTTCTGAGCTGTAGTTGAAATATTTCCCTGAATATTGTTATTACGGGGTGCATATTTTGGCTGTGGGTAACAAATATAACAAATCGGATGAACAGTATATATGGGAGCTATAGCTATATCTAAACCGATATTCACCAAATTTGACATACTAGCTCTTAGACGGTCGTAATTGCCAAATTCCATCTCATTTGGACAAATATTAGACGTTTGATGTACAATAAAAGGCAAATCGGACGAAGATATATATATGGAAGCTACATCTAAATTTTGATCGATTATCTTCAATTTCGATAGGGTTCGTCCTTGGGCCAAGCAAATGATTTGTGCAAAATTTCATCTGTATAGTGCAATAAATGCGAACTGTACTTTCTTTACAAAAATACATTGACAGACAGGCGGACGGACGGACGGACATGCATAAATCGACTCAGAATGTGATTCTATGCCGATCATCAACAGGAACTATGGGTCTATCTCGTTTCCTTTTGTAGGGTATAAAAAACTTAAGTTTGCCGAACTTTTAATATCCACCACCATTGGGGCAAAGAAAATATTTTTGTATAAAAGTAGCTGAATACAAAAGTGTTCCACTTTAAACTACAAATACCAGTAAGGCCGTTTTGATAATGCTGTTAAACCATTATGTTGATGAGACCTTTGTTTGGGGACCATACCAAAACGGGAACCTCTATACACAATTTTATACTTCAGGAAATTGTCATATACCAAATCTTATTGAATACCAAATTTTGAAACAATTTCGTGGGTCGAACTACAAATACCAATTTTTAGACAAATCCGTGGAAAAATGTGACATAATCATTAAAATACCGATTGTTGGGAGGTACGAAACGTACGGCTATTCCGAAACGTGTATCGATATATCTCATTTTAAATACAAACCATCCTAAAACTTTGAAACCCTACATCAAATAATGTGGGCTTAGAATTTTATACTGATCATGAATATATATACTTTATATGGGGTCTTCGACGAAAATTTAGGGATGTAACAAACGGAGTCAAAAACTTTTCAAGGTGGATGGTAAAAAATCGGAGAGAATATCACAGACAAAAATCAAAGGAACTTATGAAGATTGGTGGCTCTTTCGGAAACCTAGGTATTCCCTGCAACATAAACCATCTTTCTCCACTAATAAACAAACATTGTTTTTATAAAAACAACAATAATAAGATTAAGCCTAACTATTTTGCAACTTGACCTTAAATTGGTTAAAACTAAGAACACCTTGAAAATAGCCAAATATTGACAACGAACCACAGTTGCAGACAGACTAAAAAATTGGTCGAAGACATTGTGTTCAACTGTACAAAATATTGTGGTTGAGAAATGAAAAAAAAAATTATAAACAATTTATATTCTTTCATTTCCGATTATCTCAGTTCATGTCACAACTAGAAACAATTTCCTTTTAATGACTACTTGAAATGCATTTGCAAATTGGAAATGCAAACCATTTTGGAAAAGAAAGGAAACTGGTAGAACTTTTATTGTGCTAATTCGAAAATGTTGTATATCCGCAAATTACTCCAAATTCAATCTGTAGCAATTGTTTTTGTGCTATGTGTTTCTTTTTTTTTTTTTTGTTTTTGGCTTACTACAAAAGGACAAAGAGGGTATTTGTTAAAAGTGGCTCACAAACCCTTGTGCATCGAAGGCTGGGCAGATTTTTTTTTTTTTTTTTTGGTTATTTTGTGAAATGTCAAATGGTCTTGACCTTTTGTACTATCAAGCAAAAGCAAAAACATACACACACGACCCATATGTGGACAAGGTTGGAAGGCTTAGATGTAGACAAAGTTATCCGTACGAACACGCACACAGTGCAGGGCCATGCAACACTATTTAAACTTTAAGAAATGTATTTATACTTGGAAAGGGCGGATGCAAATACAGGTCGTATGACCACACCACATGGTAATCTGAACGTACCTAAGCCCAATTTTTTGCAATGTGAAGGAAATATACTGTTAAATAAAAACAAAATAAAAAAAGGTATAATATATACACAAATATGTAATTGTAGTAATATATTTAAATATTAGATATAAAATTTCAATCACATCAAAAAACGAAGTTCTGATCTACACACGTATTTTATGGAAGGGAAGTTTAAGGTCGAACTTTGTTTTGCGGTTTCCGTCAAAAAAGTATTGTGTATTGGGAATTTCTGTCGACGTCCGACCTATTTAGAAATCCATTTTTGCTGTTACTTCGCTCTGCATTTTTTTAACACTATCAGATTATTATATATATACTATTTTGTCAGTCTATGTTTGCCAAATAATTTGATGAGTATTTGACATATCCTGCTCGAGTATGTATAGAAGTTATATTCTATAATCCAATTACATAATTCAATCATTTAAATTAGAATTTTTATAAAAATATTAAATTCATTTGGGTATATATAGTCCGATATAGGAGAAATAACAAAATATAAACTGAAATCTAAATGTTCTTTAATATTTCCTTTGCTGCGACAGACGGCGTAAATAAGGAGCAATTACCACGACATTTTTTTAATAGACTCGTGGTACCGGTCAAAAACAAAGACAACTCTTTGACAGGAATTAAATGGGCTATACATGAAATCTTTTTCTAGGTCACATAGTTTTTTGCAAAACATTAGTTTCAAATGTATGTATGTATATCTGTCCGACTGCCTGTTGAAATTTGGCAAGCAGTTTGTATTGTGTCTAGGATTGTTGGTATTGAAAATAAGGTATATCGATCCACAATTAATATTTTCATGATTTTTGTAACATTTTCATGGAATTATTTCACATTTGTTATAAAGTATTAGTTACAGGTTCTACTTCTTGTGACAGAATATTGCACCCATAAAACGGTATCTTATATGGTATTTTGACCATTTAATACACATTTTCCAAAGGATTGGTCTAGAATTTGGTATTTATAGTTTATAATGGGTTTTAGCTTGGGTGGTATACATTCATGTTTTCCTATAGCCTCCATATAGAGGTACCTCAGATATTCGGTATTTTGACAACATGTTCTCATAAAACCGTTCCACCCATTTTATGGTATTTTGAAAATTTTAACTACATTCTCGAACCGATCTCATTGCTATTTGTAGTATAAAGTGGAACACGTTTGAATCCAGATACTTGAATTTAACTTTTTTTTATACCCCACACCACACTGTGGTTAGGGTATTATGTCTTTGTGCATTTGATTGTATTATAAAGAAGGAAGCGAGATAGACCCATAGTTCCTTTTGATGATCTGCTTAGAATCACATTCTGAGTCGATTTATGCATGTTCGATATTCGGGTAAATATATCGAATATAGCTTAGCAATACCATTGCCAAATCTCATCGAGATCATTTCAGATTTGGATATAGCTCCCATATATATCTTTATCCGATTTCAAGATTATTGTGAACCAAATGGTAAGTATAGGCACGAATTGAATGAATTTCGCCGCATGCGACCAAATTCAACAGAAATGGAAGGACGTGTGTCAAATTTGATGAGAATCGGTTCAGATATAGCTTTAGGTCCCATATATAAGTTTCATCCGATTTTGTGTTTAAGTCCCTCTCATCCCTAAAATGCACTTCACACCAACGATATTTGTTGCCTGGCATCAGATGCAGCATGGAAATGCTTCTGCTAAATTTTATACAGATCGGATCAGATTTGGATACATTTCCCACACATATCATCATCTGATGCTTTAAAGTCATAATTCCAATTGAAAACCGGTTGGTATGATTTAATAGTCATAAAATCCCGGATAGTTCTACTAAATATGCAAAGTGGTGTAGGGTATCATAAAGTCGGGTCTGCCCGACTTTGGCATTCCTTTACTTGATGGTTTAGGGTGTTTGGTAGTAGGACATCTCAAAATATACATTTAAGATTCCAAAAGTATCAGAATAAAATTTGTCAATTTAACGATGATAGCTTCCGAAAAAATTGAAGTAGGTTGATAAAATTTTTCAAATGTGTGTTTGGTCTGCAGGACTTTTGGCATTGGAAATGGGCTATATAGGTTCACGTTTTTGTATGGCCCCCATATGATGGTACATCCCCATATTAGGTTTTTGATGATTTTATATACATTATTCACCGGAATTCTTTCAAATGTTCATTTTTAAAGTTTATATGGGAATTTCTGTCTATGACAGAAAATTGTCTATGCGGGTCCAGGTCTTCGTATTGACCTCCATGTAATATATTCGGTATTTTAAGGATTTGAACAAACTGGTTCTATTTTTTTAATTTCCAAATTCGTTTCAAATGGCCACGGCTTAACTTAATGTTTTTAACTTATTTTTAATTTGATTTAATTTATTTCCTCTTAAGAAACCAAGTCTTAAAGCCAGTTTATGGTACAAAAACCATTTTTATCAGACCTCACTGGTATTATTATAACGGTTAAGATATGTTTCGTCGAAATATCCTCATTAGATGACATCTGCATCCAAACTCGTCGCATCGAAATATTTTCACCAAAATTAAATTTAGTTTGGAAATGGGCAAAAAAAAAAATTCATTTTAACTCGTTCGTACTTTCGTTCCTTCAAGCTTGACACAGTTTTATTTTCATCATATTTATATAGTAGGCAGAATGGAGAATATTGTCCCATTGTTCGATTATCTTCCAACTTGGCCCGTCCCAACATAGTTACGTCATTAAAAGAGAATGTTAAAATTTGATAATGATTATAGCTCTCATAAATTATGAAACTATTTCTAATTTTCCTCAAATTTCCATTAAATTTACATGGGGCATACATTAATAAAAGGTCACATACTAAAGTTGAAATTCTGACGACGAACAGACTGGTGTCTCTAAATTTCCACGCAATCTATCCCAATTTACACAATGGGCAAATTTCTCCGACTGGGGATATAGTAATGAGTTTAGTTTAATTTAAGATTTATCTGGATTAACAGGCGTAAGCCGACTCAGTTTCAGACAAAACTCCATTGGAACAAAATGTTTGGGTGTATGATCTATATGATGTGTCCAAGCCAACGAATGACCTTTCCATATAAGTTTGGGACATACCAAAACAATGTACGTTCAAATGGGAAAGTGCTTAACCGAAAGTCGGAAAATACGTCTATAATAATGATTTTCGATATTATGTATTTTCTGAGTCATATTCAACTTTGGATTGTAAATAGATGGTATCATATGTTAAAAAACTAATCAATATGTAGGTATGTTTTTCAGAAAACAATGTTCGAAGTATTAAGTGATTATGTCATAAGAAAATTATTCCCATATTTTTCATTAAAAAAAAAAAAAAAACACGGAAAAGAAATGCTAATTTCCCCGGAGTCAAAAATACATAGTGTCAGCAAATAAAAAACACCACAAATTTGAGATAGATATGCAAAGGAAGAATCAGTCCTGTTGTAATAAAATTTAAACTCACCTGACACTCATACATGCCGTGATCCCGGCGCTGCACAAACTTTATCTGCAGTGTCCACATATTTGATCCCGGTGTATGCAGAATAGCAAAGCGTTCATCGTTTGTGTACAACTGAGCTCCCGACGATAGGATATGCCAATCTCTACGACGTATCCAGGATATTTGATTCTAAAATATTATTCCGAAGGGAACAGAGGTATACAGAAGAATAAATATTAACATGAACTTTGTAAAGAAAATGCACACATCAAGACACAAGCAAGTACGACAATGTAAAATAAAAAACTACTGCGATTCATATTGAGAAAAGTAGTGGTTTTATATATATTTTTAATTTTATTAAAATTTCTATGGTACTGCTTAGTCGTATTTTAAATGCATAAATTACATACAACAAAATTAATAACATATTTAGCTATACTTTGTTTTATAGTTTTGCCTATATATCTTACACGGGTGATTTTTCTCTTCCTTAGGTAATGTCTACTACCTCTTAATACGACTCTGTACTTCGTACATAATGTCAAAGGTAATGACATTTCCTAAGGAGTGACGTTTAGTAATTGCCGCCTTTACAGTATTCTACCGACTCTACGAGTACTAACAAGCATAGGATTACGTCCTACTGCTAAAAACCCTTTGTACGAAGGTAATATTGTTCTACGAACAGCGACCCTATAAAAAATATACAGTCCACTGCTCAGTGGGAAAAATATTAACTGATTGTGTTTTATTTTTCTCCCCATTTCTTTTATTTTCATTTTGCTACGCAAGCAACAGTACTTTTGTACCAAAAAATAAATATTAAAATTACTTAATTGTAGCTCTTAACTCTATGCAGCAAAGTTATAATGAAGAATAAAACGTAGAATTAATATTTCACCCCTATGCGACTCGTTTCGCATAGTTTTGTCTTTTTTGTCAGGTAAAAACAGATATACAAAAGTATAATACACTGTACCACAGTTTGGTATTTGAGACCATAATAGGTTAATATAACTTTTTTAATGAAAATATCAAGGAATTTAATTGAGGTCATATATTTCTACGTTAAAATATCCAGCAGATTATGAAAATAGGGCTAAAAAGGAGACACGTATATCGGTGTATTGAAAGTTTACATCTAAAAGTAACCAAAAACAAGTAAGCAAAGGCTACAGTCGAGCGGGGCCGACCGTTGAATACCCTACAACACTATAATAAATGATACAGTTTATATAGGCGAGATACTCGAAAGAATTCCACAAGATATTGTGACAAACCACCAGGTTTCGTTCTCTAATTTTCGAATAATAGCAACTTAAACTAATTTACTCATTTCCAATTTATTGGTAGATGTTGCACGTAAATGGTCTTCCTAGATCTGGAACCAATATTTCCCAAAGACCTATAATCTCTCAGAAGTGGCAAAAGATTAACATTTATTATTGGTTTTTGACTGAAATGCATCTGTATGAGATACAGACATTTGACTATATTCTTCAACGAAATCAGCCTTAACGAAATAGTCAGAAGTGCGTCTTTGCTGTATTTGTGAATTCTCCAAAAAGGCACTGGAATGGATATTTTCGTATTTTGTCTACAAAAGTTGGCAAACTATTTCACACATTGAATATTTTTGGATGGCCATCCAAAACTATTTGGCTTTTGCAATGTCCGGTAACCTCCATTCCATTGCGCGTGAGGATCGGGCGATAATTACGACTTGCTGACAATTTTGCAGTTTTTTTGTCCATTTGAACCCCTAAATATATGGTGATTATCTCCAAAAAGAGTAGGCTTCTATTCTGACCCTCATCTTATCCCCATGCAAAATTTCATAAGGATCGGGCCATAAAGGCGATCTGTATATGATATCCTGATATCCTAACTACTTAGTTTTGTTAGCTGTAGAAATATTACCAAATGTTTAATTCAAAATGAAAATATGCCAAAATATGACAAAATTGAAAAAATATGAGAAAATATTACAAAATCAATATTTTCATCTTTAGAGAGATATTTTATGCAATTTTTTTAGACTTTTTTTCTTTCCTGCCAAGAGGCCATTTTGAATTAATGAGAACTGTCGAAATCAGTTCAGCCGTCCTCGACATATAAGAGATCTTTCAAGCATATCTTCTTTGATAGACATATATATCGCACATATTTTGTGCGATATATATCCGATTGATGGATGTTAACATCAATGTAAAGGTCAGAAGTAACCTTGTCATGGCTTTGTGATTTCGCCGGGATTTAAAATATTCGCGGTTTAATGAAAAATTTTGAATTTTTTCAACACAAAAGATATGGTCTATTTTACCCGCTAAATATTAACCGATGACCACCCAAATTGGTAGGCTTCTTCCCCGCCCTAAACTCTAGCTACATGCGAAATTCCGCGTCGATTGGACTATAATTGCGACTTGTATAGCTACTGCAAAATCCGAAATTTTTTCAGTATTTGGTCCATTCAACCCCTAAACACTTGGCAATCATCTCCAGAAGAAATAGGCTTCTATTCTGACCCTAACCCCACCTTCGTGTAAAATTTCGTAAGGATCGGGCCATAATTGCGACCTGTAGCGTGATTACAAATTAACATGGACAGACGGACGGACATACATAGCTAGATCGACTCAGCTCGGCGAGCTAGGAAGATCCATATATACTTTCCTATATTGGAAATCAATATTTCGAGGTGTTGCATAAATTCTGGCCCAATCAAACTTATAATACCCCCAACACATAGTGTTGTAGGGTATAAATAGGGAGCAAAAGGGGGGAACTCTTTCACAGATTTGGAAGATTCAGGTTAAGATTCCTCGGAATCCGTGCATTTTAGGAATATTGTGTCTTCGGCAATATTGCAGATCTTAATCTTTTTAAAAATCTATCACTTTTTTCTAATTCGCTGTTCTTAGTACATGTTTTTCTTTTCTTAGGTCATTTGAGCTCTTATAGAAACGCTATTTACATAAAATGTTCAATATAGATCCACCTTTCGATACAGCGCTTATATGAGGATATTCCCTGCTTTAAATTATTTTGAGTACCTTAGCCATATCTGTGCGAAACTTGGCTAGGAAATTATTATTTTGGTATCTTTGACATCGTTCTTCTAAAATGATGCCGGAGATTTTTACACAAATTCAAGCAAAGTACGACTTTAACCCTAAAATGTATTTTAAACATTCATGATCTTCTGGCGTTAAGATAAAATTTTGATTTTCCACATCCTTTAGGACATATAGTAGAATTTTATGACAAATAATTTTGTAGAATATTTTGACTTGCTACGACCTTAATCAAAGGAAGCCTTCAGTCTTCAACTCTACTTTCAAAACCTGCTGGATTTGCCCATAATTATTGAAAAAATTGAATTTTGTCTCAAGATGTTATTAACGAATGTCCTCGTAATGAAACAGAAATTTGTTATATTCTAATTCTAATTCATTCTAATTCTGTTCCAAAAACGATATTTAAATTATGGACCTTGACAATAAATATTTTTGTATATATTTTTGGACTATAACGATATTCTACCCCTGAAATGAATAAACAATTTTGCTAGATGTAAAACCATTGAAATGTCTTGTATTTTGTAATATTATTATATATTTTAGTTGATAATAAATTATATCCAAATGTAAAATAAATGTTAAATCTCTAAACAATCCTTAACTTGAAATATGCATCCAAAATAGAATAAACCACATAAATTGTTTCTCTTTATGAAATCACATTGCAAACACAAATGAATGGGAAAATAATCAGAAATATAAAATTTTAGTTTACAACGGAAGAAGGCTACCAAAATAACAATACCACTTAAATGACAAATAAATGATGCCAAAAAAGAAGAGAGGAGAAGGAGAATACAGTGACAAACATGAAAGACTAAAACAAACCCAATTTACACCCACTCTATCCACGCCGGAAACTTTGCAGACCAGAAACGCGGTTCCACCTAACTGGACGGTCGTGTTGTGCGCCATCATCTGAAACGAAATAGAAAGGTGGGTTGGTTGTTGGTGGTGGTTGGGGGTGGGGAAGAGAGAACAAATTGCGGTAAAAGTAAAAACGTTTCATAAATTTTAATTGCGAATTGTGCAGCAAATATCACGAACACAAAGCAAAAAAACAAAAAAATCACACAAAAACATTGGGAACGCCAAAAGAAGAAACAAAACTAAATAAATCCATGACAAAAGTTATGCAACGCTTGGCTGGCTGTGTTGGCATAACCAAGAGTTTGTTTCACAAATAAAATTTAATGAAATTTAGTTGGGAATTTCTTTTGCATATTTGATTTGGAAAATGGCCGAGCAGCAGCAAAAAATGCCGAGTATTTATTTGTATTCCAGCCATAACCCATTTAGACAATTGAAATTAATAAACTGTAAATAGAAGCATTACCATTAATTAAATTTGTTGCAATCTTAGATGGCTCAGCAATAACACGAAAATGTGTAAAGGTTTTTTTTTTCAGAATGAATAATCGAATGCGGAATTCAAATGAAACCATTTTACATTTTGGATGAGCAGCATAAGGGCGCTAATATCTAATTTATTTAAGAATAACATGTTTTTTTTCATTGGCCTCGTATAACTTTATGGTATCCAATAATTATGTTCATGTCCTCTAAATCCTTTCTCCGAAGGGTTTTCTTCGTTATAATCCCTTTCTATTATATCTGGTCAGGAAAAATATGGGATACATTCTTAATAAGAACAGATTCTAGATTAAAAATATTTTGTACAGATATTTGAAATTTTGAAAATACAATTTTCACTCACTCAAAATGACTTCTATCAAAGCATTACGTGAAAATTTCACCAAATGTGAACGTATTTGGCATATGAAATAAGTTGTGTCTATTTTTTTACAGAGCGATTTTGCAAATTATAATCCACATGAAAGTTTTATATTTTCGATGACTAGCTGTGCTGTGAAAATTTCACAGCCACAGCACAAAGTTATATTATGTAACATTGGCTGCAGGACAGCAACTGGTTAAATTTTTGGTTTTAATGGCCATGTTTGCAAACTGTACTGTGACGTTTCGTTTGTTTTTGAAGAAAAGCACAGAGACAACATGTTTTTGATGTTTTCACAACTTTGCTGGCAGTAAATTCAAACACTTCGGGCTCGAAATGCACAGGTTGTTTTTGTGGCAATGGGCTTTTTTCGAGACAACTCCAGTACTCTAAGCCATATTTATGTCGTTGTACAGTTTTAGGAAAATGGTTTGATGGCATTGAATGTTGAGGTGGTTACAAACTCTAAATCCATGGTTCACATCACAGCCGGGATCAGCTGTATTATTACATTGACTCAAAGTATTTTTTTTTTCGAATTGGAGTCGTTTTTCGAATTAAATACTGTGAAATAAAATGGGCTCGAAAAATAAATACTTCTTATCAAATTTGTGCAAATGAAATATTCCCACTGAAATCTGTATTAATTTCTTTATTTCTGTTCCTAAATATTGCGAAATGTGGATACTAAAACTAAAAAAAATTCGTTTAAATAATCTCCAGCGGCAATTCTAATCAACTACTTTACATACACAACTTATTATTCCTTTGTCAACATTCCCCTCTTTTTCTTGGCGTTTCGTACAATTTTGTGTGATTTTTTTTTATTTGCTTCCCTTTTGCATTGCACTCAATATTAACATTATATAATACTTACTTCGCTGTCTTCGAACATTGGACTGTCGCTGGAATCTAAATTGTTGCTATCGAATCTTGAATCGGGATTTATACCTCCTCGCATCCATAACTTCTTCCAATCGCTATCGGTAAGTATTGACTTTTGATCTGTAATTGAAAATAAGACAAGCAGAAAAGTGGTTCGTTATGAGAGGTTGACAGTAGCATTCGCCGTTATTATCATAACAATAAATTTGTGTTTGCCACGGATGCCAAAGGATGAAGTAAATTGTAAGTTCAGTTGAAAATCCGTCGAAGGCCATTTCTGAGGAAAATGTCTTTTTGTTTTTGTTGGAAATTTCATTTTGCATTACATCATTAGTTTCTACAATGCAAAATTATTTTCAAGGAAAAAAAAAACTAAAGCTCAGGGCAAATTTGAGATCCGAAAGGCAAACGTTAAATACGTATGCATTTATGTAAATCGTCACAAATGCCTTATAGGAAATTTAGTGGCTCTTATCATAGGTGATGATTTCACAAGAATCTGGTATAGGTGATAGAATTATTTTTTTATTATTAAATCTCTTGTAATTTTATTTATTATTTTTTATGATTTCTTAATCGGAAACTAGTTGTCATGAAAAAATATACATATATAATATATATAATATATATAATACATATATCAATTCATATTAAATGACATAATACGTTATAATAGGCAGTATGAAATTAATAAATTAATATGAAATTGGTCTTTCGGACAATTCAATTAAAATGGGCCTATTGAGAAATGATTTTGCAGAGTTCATTCGTGTGATCCTTGGAAATACCTGTTAAAATTGGAAAACATGGACCATAGATGTGACCATATATATATTCTGATTTGATTTCATAATTATTGTAAAGCCAGCATTGCTTGGCTTTTGTTTTCTTTTTAATGGTTTTATATTCATACATCCTTGTCGGAAATCTAGATTAAAAATGATTTTTATCGATATCGATATTTCCCGTTCTATTCCAAAGAAAACTAATTTCGATTGCTTTTATTCAGTTACAACTCGATGAAAACCAAAAGATATTTTAATCAAATATATTTCTTTTAAAATTGGATTTGAAATCGATGTCAAATGAAGCTTTATTTTTTTCTGTGGTAAAAAAACCGCAAAAAATGCACAAAAGGTTCAGAACAATTAACAAAATCACAGTCTGTACTGAAAGATTGGGACAACCTGCAACAACTTAGCACGGAAAGGCGCACCTCATGCAAATTATTTAAAAGCAAGTAAAAAGGCTGTAAGTTAGGAACTTTGAATACCATCAACCATTTGGAACTTATTTTCCAAAAAATAAAATCCGTTAAAAATTATTTTAAAATAATACAAATACAGAATATAGCTGTTATATTAAGGTCTATACGACGACGTGGACCTACGTAGGCAACTTTTGTCATAAGCCATTACACTATTCAAATGCGAAACTTGAAAAAAAAATCAGTGAATAATGTAGCTAAAATGGAGGCTAAAGGAAAACGTGGACCTGCACAGAAAAATTTCTGTTTTAGGTTGTAGTATCCGTTTCGAACTTCAAATACCAAATTTGAAACAATTCCGGTGAATGATGTCGCTAAAATTATAAAAAATACCGGATATCGGGAGGTACCGTTATATGGGAGCTATACCAATACGTGGACCTACATGGCCCATAATACAAAAAGCATACATACTATGCACTTGAGTACAATTTTATCAATCTACTTCATTTCGTTCATAGAATTTTATGCTGATCAAGAATATATATTTGGTAGGGTAGGATATGTATAATTCGAGGTGTTACAAACGGAATGACAGGAACGGTTGGATGGATTTTGACAATTTTCACAAATTCCGAATGACCTCTTGCCACAAAAGTATAAAATCTAAAAAATGGCGTGAAATTATGTCAATAAAGAAGTGAATATTTTTTTAATATTTAAATTTTTGTCATATTTTTTATCGCATGAGGTATTTTCATATTTAACTTACAATATTGAATTTAACGTTTGGTAATATTTTTTCATCTTACAACACTATGTTTTGGGAATATTATATTCAAGTTGCAATTATCGTCCGATTCTCAAGAAATTTTGCATGGGGATAGAGTTGGGGTCAGAACTAAAGCCTTCAATATGTATACATAGGGATACAAATACACCAACAATTAAAACTTTCCTGATCCTGCAGTGATTCTACAGGCTACAATTAAAAACCAATCGACACGAAATTTTGTATGAGGTTAGGTTTTAGGACAGCGCAGAAATGTAGCATTTTGGACGATCCTTAAATTACATTTAGCGGGTAAACTGACCACAAGTTTTGTGTGAAATTGTTTCGAATACCTATCAGCACTATATAGACAACGGACAATCAAAGGTAACATATGTGCAGGACAGTAGGTCATTATTTTGAAGTATTTACCAATACCAACCTATTCTGGTTGGTGGAATTTTATAAATTATCTACGCTGGGCTTAAAGAATCAAAGCAAAAAATATTGTACAATAGTTATGAGTACAATAGTTTAAATTAAGTTTTATGGCTTATATGAGGTAAACGAAATGACTGAAAGACCACATTAAACGAGTATGACTGAATCGTTTTATTTGAAACTACAACGAATATTTTTACATCTTAAGGAGTTTTTTTTTCTTAACAGAGGCATTCCACGATGTATTTTTCGGTTTTCAATGGCTATTTAATCGCATATCAAATGGATAAAATTTAGATTATTGAAAAACCATGTCTGTTTTTGATAAATGACAAAACAATTAGGAAGAATTATGATTGATGAGGACAATATCCAAGCTTCATTAGTCCATTTGTGAAAAAATATAAGCATCATCCATTTCTTGTCCCCTTTAACACGTCTCATGTGACAATGATGAAATTCTATTCAATTTTGTGGAAATGCTTTCCTTAAAGTAAAGCAAAAGTTACATTATCAGAAATCTCGAATGGAATATTGAATGCCACAATGGGAGAGGATATGGCCACTTTATTATTTCATTTATCATAATTCACACTTTCTTTAATAATCCTCCGCCCCCTATTTCTCCATCGCTTTATAAATAGGCCGATACATGCTGGTGGCAGTTCAAATGGTCACGACGATGCTTCTTTGTTCTGGTTGTGTTGGCAGAAAATCTAAATATTCCTTGAGGGGATGTTTGTACACCACCACAACGTCTTCTTAATTGGCCTGTACGACCAACGATACTGGTCAGAGTTGGAATTATCGGGGGCAATGTTGTTGGGATTGGCTCTTCAAAAGATGAGCGTGCGTGCGAATTTACAATGGTATTTATGACCCAACAAATTATTTTATGAGCCATTAAATTCTTAATATTAGCCAAAGCCGAAAAACAATATGGATACATTTGAATAAAATTTGACTGTATATGATACATAGATTAAGGATTATTGAAATAGAAAAGAAAACAAAAATGATTTCATTATTTTTTTAGATGAAAAGTAAATAACTGCAATCTAAGCGATACCATATCCTTTGATATTTTGTTTAAACATTATTTGTAAAAAAACTAACTATGTATGGTTGGTTTTTAAAAAATATTGTATCCATTGTTCTAAGGATGTCAATTAAAACTTCATTTCGAGAAGCAACGACTTTTTATAAATTCTTGAGATATTTAAATCAAGCTAGTAGAGTTTTTTGATATATTTCATTGATAAAAATAATATTATTATAATTAAAATGGAATTTCTATTACTTTGAAAAAAGTCAATACTAATAATGCTAGGTCTCCTTAATTGTGAACTTTAAGGTAAATACAAACTCTAGACAATTTTTAGTTTTTTGGCCCATTTAAAACCCTAAATATTTCGTGAACATCTTTAAAAACAATAGGCTTCTATTCGGATAGTAATTGCGACCTGAATATAATAATCCCTACACATAGTGTTGTAAGGTGAAATATTGTAGAAATATTACAAAATGTACAATTCAATATGTAAACAAGTAAGTAAGTAGCCTCCACCATTTGGAAAGAATTCGGCAATTTTCAAAAAAATAAAATTTGTTAAAAATTCTGTTAAAATCTCAAAAACACAGAATGTAGCAGTTATATTAGGGTCTATACAACTACGTGGACCTGCAACTTTTGACATAATTAGAAGTAGTAAACAGATTTCAACGAATGTACAATACGATAAGTGTTGCAACAAAGTGCACGACGATTCCATTTCAAATAAATGGAGACAATTCTTACTTAAATAGTATCCATTACGAACTTAAAATACCAAATTTGAAATAATTCCGGTGAATAATGTCGCTAAAATCATCAAAGTACCGAATATCGGGAGGTACCATTATATGGGAGCCATACCAAAACGTGGCCCATTTTCAATACCAAAAGTCCTGCAGACATAATATACATTTGAGTAAAATTTTATCAACCTACTTCATTTTGTTCGGAAGCTAAAGTGATTTCACAGACTGTAACGACACGTTTCCCGCCTCCTGCTGGGGTATACTCAGGGGGGCAGGGTTCGTCACAGAAATTTATATTTTGCAGTGACGGAGAGGGAAGAAAATCAAGTTTTTTTTTCTATTTACAAATTCAATGGGTTTATTTTATTATTATTTTTACTATATATACACACAATGTAGTTCGTCTAAGGACTACTGCTCGTGGTCATCGAAAGCCTCTCTGGCGACAGGTTGTTGCGTGTTGATACCTTCCCCGGATTGTATTCCTCTGTCCAGGCCCCTCGATGGCAAAAGTCGTCAGAACTGGTATGCAGGGAAACCTTTCGATCCTTTTAAAGGGGTTCGGGAGACCTTTCAGCCCTCTAGGTCAAATGTTAGAGTCGGGAGACCTTTCGGCCCTCTCGATTGCAAGACACGCTAAATTGTATAGTCGGGAGACCTTTCGGCCCTCTCGATCGGAAAACACTAGTTTTATATTCCTGAGACCTTTCGGCCCTCTCGTTTATAAAAATCTTCCAATGTTAAAGTCGGGAGACCTTTCGGTCCTCTCGATTGAAAGAAACGCTAAATTTTAGAGTCGGGAGACCTTTCGGCCCTCTCGATCGGAAAACACTAATTTTTATATTCGTGAGACCTTTCGGCCCTCTCGATCATAAAAATCTTCAATCGTTTAAGCCAGGA